TTTTACGTCTTTTATTTTAAAAGTTTTATTGTTCCTGACGACGTGCCCCTTTGCTTGAGCCCAAACTAACTCTATTGGGTTGAGCTCGCAGTTATAGGGGGGCAGACGCAGGATTGTGACACCGTATTCAGCGGCCAACTCTTCCACAGCATAACGTTCGTAATAAGTTTTTTTTAATTTTACTATTTCTATTAATTGAGCTTTGATCATTGTAGGTTGATATTGAATTTGTTTTTCATCCAACCACTGAATAATATCAGCCTTCCATCAGTTTCAAGTGGGGATACGCTCGACTTTTCTTGAATGGTACGGTGGGTTATCTAATACTAGCACCGCATTTGGCTTTTTAGCTCAAAATACTCCGAGTTAATTTCTTCATGAAAGTCCATACTATTTTCTTCGATTCAAAAATAAGTAAACCGGCTTCTACAAAACCTTCATCATTGCCTATATGTGAAATTATTAGGCGTCGACCTTTACCGGTTGGGCTCTTTAGGCCTGTTGTCAAACCTTTAGAAAACGCTTGTTTGGAAGATTCTATTGTTGTATCCACCCAAACTTTACCAGTTGTATGACCTGTTTATGCAACAGGTCATACAACTGGTAAAGTTTATCATATAAATAATATAATACTGACATATTTATACATTTTGACACTGAAAAACTAATCACAAAATACAGTTGTAAATAAAAATATTCAATTACCTTCATTAAACCAGGTCTCATCTTAATAATAAATTATTTTTCCTTGTCTCCGATATTCTTTGATTGTCATCAAGTACCGTCTACGCCACAGAATTAAGTCTTGACCGTCTGTCAAGCAGCTGCGTCGTTTGGGGCTGTTCAAGTATTACGTAAGCACTGTAGGGGGGCAGGGGGGTCTTTGCTTTGCTTATTTTTGATAACATGGGGGGGTGGGGGGTAGAGATGGTGATTACGTCAGCATCATCGATTAAGACTTTTTAAGTACTGCTGCACATGAAGCTCATGAAAGCTCATGAATCAATAAAAAAAACAGAATACATTAAAGGAAAAATGCATATAAGTACCAATGTTTACGTAAGGATGGCGGGGAGGGGTAAGAAGTTTGCTTAGTTTTGCTGACGAGGAGGAGGAGGGGGTAAATAATTGTAATAAATCTGCTTACGTAATACTTGAACGGCCCCTGTGCGCCTGCCATATTTAAATTTAAAATGTTTTAAAACTACTCGCATGGTACTCTTTCCCATATTTGGTAGGTCAGGATCATCATTTACAACCTTATGAACCTGTAAAATATTTCAAGTATTTAATTTTTGTAAACAACAACGAGACAATGACAATGGTGCCAATTCTGGCGTGATTCTCTAAACTTAAAACTAAATTTAACATCAGTCTCTCCTTTTCATTCTGTATGGAGAATGACAAGGATATACTGCTGTCAAATTTAAGTTTAGATTAAGAGAATCATGCCAGAATCGATACCACTGTGTATTAATTATTATTATGTATGTATGATGTGCAATTATATATTTTGTATTGTATCACAATTTTATAGATTTACATACCTTGGCAATAGTTCCTACTCATAAAAGAATTGGTGAACTTTACGACGTATCGCCGAAAAGTGAAAATCATCAATTTTATCTTTGTCAGTCTGGGTCCAGATTTTTTCCGATTTGATAACTGAAGTTCTCCTTTTGTTCTTTTAGTATTCGATACACAGATCTAGTCGAAATTCCCAAAATTTGAGATACTGTCTTCACACACTCATCTTTCTTTGGAACATCAAAAGGTTTTGCTGCATTTTGATTCCATACATAATTATATGCATTGAGAACCATTTGTTTCTCACTCACAACAAATGATCGACGCTTTCTTTTTGGAGTGAGACATCCCTCTTTAGAGGTGGCCGGTTGGGGATCTATCTCAAACACCAACGTAACAAAACTCAACAAAAAAATAACAAATTAACAAGTAAGAAATAAACAAGAAATTGCAGAGGACACTAAACACTTCTGACACCGTCGGAATTCGGGAGCAGAATGAAAAACAAAATGGCGTCCATAGCGTGACAAGTGATGACCATAGTGCTTCCAATAACCAAAAATTCACCGAGTCAACACAATGAGATATTTAACTTAATATAACAGTGTTTTATGTAATATTAAATAAATTACTTACCGTGTATGTGTTCTGTTTAATTACCGTAAATTACCATTGAGTTATAATGTACTCTTAGTACATTATAACTCAATGTAAATTACATATTTTTATTTATCTATTATTTAAATGCAATTTCATATTGAATAAAAAAATGTTATCTCGACTAACTTTTAATTGTAAAAACTCGATTCTACCACATCACTATTTATTTGGGACAAAAAACCTGCAACACTGGAAATGTCATTTTACTGACTGGAATTAATAATCGTACTAAAGTAAAATTTTGATAAAAGATAAGCCCCTCTAGCATGACCACCGAAACGGGATATGATGAAGCGATATATCGAAATTAACTGTCAGACTACTGTCAAACTCCACTGTAGTCTGACAGTTAATGACGATATATCGCTTTATCATATCCCGTTTCGGTGGTCATGCTAGAGGGGCTGTGCACAGTAAATTTTAATAACAAAACACTAATTCTTTGCCTATAGCCAAAAGGCAAAGAATTAGTATTCTTCTTTTATTGACGTAAATAATTGATATTTCCGTTACTTCAATTTTAAGAGTTTAGGAGCTAGGAACAAAAAGCCAGAATATTTAACCAGTGCATCCTACCAGTAATTACTCATAAACCAAACCCAAAGCAGTTTGGATTTTAATACATATAGAGATGCAAAAATCTGTTTTTATGTACCGTGAAAAAAAAGTTCATTATTTCAAATAAAATATGTTCATTTTCTGTAGCATGTTTTTTTACTTGAAAAAACATTGAATTTGAATATGATTTTGATATTTTGTTTTCATTTTACATCACTGCTTATTATAAAAGTAGTTCTTTCTTGTAAAAGCTTGTTTAGCTAGCTTGCTTGTTTAAAAGCTTGTTTAAAAATTAGTACACAGTCAATTAAATTAATTACACCGAAAGGGCTTAACTTTATTGGCAAGAGGTGGAATGACCTATTATGATAGGCTTAAAATTTAAAATTATTATTCCAACGGTATTTGAATATGAAAAAGTATCTTGTGTGCCTCTTCAAAAACACGTTAAAGCTTAATTAATAACAACTTGAAAATTTTGTGCCTGTTAGGATGACTACATTTTATGGTTCTAATCTTATACATCAAGCTCACAAAAAGTTTACAGTGCAATGGGAATTAAAATGATAAATAAATTGTTAATGATGTCAATTTAGTTGTTGCGAGGCACCGTTAGTATATTTAGGAAATTATACATGCAATGTCATTTATTATAATAACATAGGTGCTCATTTAACAGTCACTGATTATCTCATTAGATTTTGGCCACATCACTAAAGGGCTTTTCCTTCTAAAATCGACAGTAGTTTTTAAACAACGGATTTATGAAACCACGCTGACTGATAAATATAATCACATGACATTATGTGATAGTTATGGACAATGTATTCAAAAATTGTATATTATTGTTTTAAAGATTTTAAAGAGGAACATTTGGATTTGATTGGTGGGGTAACAATTTCATTCAACACGTGTTTTGGTTCCTAATGATGCCCCGTTTTATTCACCTTGTGTAACATAACAGCCACCGCATTGCACCGATAAATGAAATTGGGGTGATTAAATTTTTTTACTTCATCTCTTAGTAATGACACCGGCTCTTAATGGTGCTACTTTTATTATTGGCAACATTTTAATTTTAAATCTGATGGCTCCACCGTTTTGTCAAAAAGTGATTTTTAAAGATTAGGGTACTCATGAACAGGTCCGTGAAAAAAAAAAAACAAGCCGCGATGCAATCTTTTTCGGAATTCCTTACATTCTTTAGACAGGCTTGAAGCTTCGTTTGTCACTCTCGCAGTCGAATTTTGGCGAGCGGCCGAGGACAGACCTGATGAAGTTCGAGATAATCAGAGAGGCGTCAAAGTAACAATTTGTTTACTCTGCTCGAATTTGCCGCGTTTAGATTTCAACGCGTTGATATTACTTGACAAATGCTTTGGTAAATTTTCATTCGCCTCAAATGGTTTTCGGGCGATGACAACAGGCGTAAATAATGTGTTGTTACCATTCCGAGATACCGGTAATAATTTTGATCGTACGAGTATAAGTAGCTGATTATGAGAGAGAAAAGAGGGTGAAGAACGTGTAACAAAATGTAAAACTGTGAAACACATTAACCGTCGCACATAGTGACGTCAATTTAATTTAATTCCAAATAATTGTTAATTATTTATAGATACAAAAATATTTGAAATTTTAGTTTTGAATAAATTTAAGGGATGTAAGTTATACGATTTATGTATACGTTATACGTTTATCTACTGAAGACCGTTCAAGTTAATATCTACATAATTAATATCGATGATGAAAGATAATCGCTACTACTTATGGCATTTAATATTATTAATAAAATTATGAGTTATTGAATTCGATGATTTTATATGAGAGTTTTTTATTTCATGTAACAAAATAAAATTATCGTTTGTATGCGAGTTGACTTAAATATGACCTTTCTTGAAGCCCAAGCGCGCACTTGCGGCCAGGTCAGAGCGACCAAGCCGCGGAGGCCAGCAAATTCGGCTTGGCCGGGTGCGCGCGCTGATGATACAATGCATACATTGCGCTGAATTTGCTGGCCGCAGCGACTTGGCTACCAGTGCGCGCTTGCGCTAAGGGTCTTACAGTCACGGCGCCGGCGGCCTGCGGCCGCGACCAGCCCTTTAGTCTTCTGGTTGGTCACTCATTTTTGAACACTTGCAGTGAACCTACATCCTTCAAAAATTTCAATGTTCTTCATTTTATTATATTGCTCTTTTTGTTAAGCATTAAACTGCTAGATTTATAAATCTAAATACATTTTTATTATTGAACAGTGGCGCGGCTCATCATCACTGCACACCAGACTGGAAGGTCGGCTGGTCGCCGCGCACGTCTTGTGCTCGGCGCCGGAGCAGACCCGGCTAGCCGCCTCTTGTGCGGCCTTTAGGATTGCAGGCGCATCGCAGAATACTTTACTTGGTAAGATTGATAGATAAGGATTTTCATTGATAGGAAAATGCGTGACGCACACCTCTCCCCTTTGTGAGATGCCCCATGTCTAAGAAGCCCCTAGGTTCGTCATTCCTCTTCTCCCCGAATCTCTCTTACTGCCAGCCAGCGATAGCTAAGGGTCCTAGATTTTTCTGTGTTATCTAACAAATCGAGAACCAAAAAATTCGGAACCTTTTTTTAAAACATTTGTTATTAAGATTAATTATAGCATTGTCTGCAGATTTAATAAATCTCGTTAAATCAATATTATGTAGCTAGTCGAAGATTCAGATATAAAATCAAAATTACTGATTTCAGATGTAAAATCGATACCTTTTCACGCTGGAGAAGTCGTTACATCGGAGCCAGCCAGTCACAGTCAAGGTCTCAGCGTCCTCGAGCTTCTAGCGATTTGCGTTTGCGTTTTAATGTTGGTCTTTATATACGCAGCTGGAATTATCTTCTATGTGCACTATAAGAAAAGGCAAAAGAGAAACGGAAAAGACCCGGAACTAAATTTATCCAACACAATGTCTACGGATAACATTTCCACGCTTGATTCGAGAATTGGCATGGAGAACGTTGTAAGATATATTTTGACTTTACATATATTTATGGTTTTTTATGAATGTGGACGAGCTAACAAAGGAAGACGAAAGCTGGAAGAAAAACATATTGTGATGATAAAAATTTAATTGGGGATAGAGCGATCATGCTAATAACGTATTTTTACGTTCATAGATATCTTAACTTCTATTTAATTATTTTTAATTTTATTTTAGCAACTGAAAACCAACCCTTTACTTGGCATGGGTAATATAACTAATGATTTCATTCATGATGCTGGATTATCAGACGTAAGTGAACATACGGAAGACACTATGGACTCATCTTCAAATAATACTTTTATGGTAGGCACACTTTACAGCATAGAAAAAACTATTATATTATTTGTTTAATTGTGGATTTATTTGTCATTTTTACGTCTTAATTCCATTTACAGAAGGCAAATTCTAATGTCATATCAGCAGTTGTACATACGAAGCGAAAGAAACCCATTAGGTCGATGGCAAGAGCTACATCAACTCCCGAATGCATAAACGAGAGATTGCAACGAAGGTCGGCCTCTCCAGATACTTTTGAAAGAGCTCCTCATTCAGATTTATCTATAATTGATTGCAGCTTAGAAAATAATACTGTTGCCCCGCAACCACTGCAATCCTCTAATGGAGAGGGTGCACTAAGAAAAAAATTATATTTTAATCCAGTGTTTTTCGAGTCCGAGCATCTTAAGGTAAAACTATTGTATCAGTCATGTATAAAGGTAAAGAAAAAGCCATTACTTATATCATCAAACATTATATCTTTTATTGTTTCAGAACCCTCCACCTGCTGCAATTGAATTCCTCATTAAAATCCGTGAAGTAATGTCGGTTGCTAAAGAGAAAATGGTATCTAAACGTTTTATCCCAAATTTGAATGATATTCCGGAAGAAGAACTTTATCATACTATCGATCTAGGATGGGATATACCTTGTGCGAGACGTGGTAGAAGGTTTAGTGCAATAAGTCTTAAACAAGAAAACAGCCGAAGAACAGCCCATTGTGGGGGTTGTCCTGGCTGTGATAGTAGTAATTCAAATTCAATGAAAAGTGTTGCATTGGCAAGATCTAACTCTTGTAAGACTTGTGTTAGTGATGACTACAAGCAACGAATTGTACGTAAATGGTTAGACGAAGTTCCGTCTCCACAGTCAGCAGTAAAACCTATAAAATCGGTAGCTAAAGTAAGTGGAACTCCGAGAATCGTTGATTCCAAACCAAAGAACGAGTCACTGCTACTGCCAATACGGCCTTCGGAGCCAACAGAAAATAAAGAACCAGTCAAAGAACTAAACGTACGAACAATTTTAAAAGAAAATATTGATGATACACGTAGAGAGCATATTGTCAGGGAAAATGACACAATATCTTTTATTTCGACTCAGACTGAAATGAATGCAGAATCTATACAAACAATTATAGGACCAGCAAAGATAAGCCCTACAAATCACAAATCACGTCGCATAAGAAGAAAGCTGCCTCCACCTCCACCGCCACCAATATGTCCACCAAAGCCACCTAAAGAGGAAGATGTTGAGCCAATATTACCTGAAGTAAAAATAAAGATGGAAGCAGTTATTCGTGAACTTAATAAATGCCGCAGAGTAGAATTACCAGAGGCGAAAGAATCTGAAAAGAATATTTTAAATGCTCCAAAAATAGTAATTCCAGTTCTAGCCGCGGACTCACACTACTACAGTGATGACAATATATTGTTATCGGAAAAGAGTAAAAAAGAATTCTACATACATCGTGATGATACTATTCATTGTGACAGTTTAGAACGGAGTTCATTAAGGAGAAGAAGATATTCACTTGCTTGTGAACCAGAACTAGCTCAAAAAGAAGAGTTCAGAATACATTCAAATATATCGTCTACTAAAGAAAGATTATCTAGTAGTTGGCGTGACTTAAAGAAAGCTGTAGATAGACATCAACTAGTGCCGCAACTCATTGACATGCAGTTTGAAAATAGAAGTGAAATTTTCATTAATTCAACAGAACCTTTTTATGATAATGTTTGCAAAACGGGACCTCTAACTATCAAAGTTAGTGGTTCGCCAATTGAAGATAGGCGTAACCAAAGCGAAGAATTTGACCCCGATACTCTTGATAGAAAACCAAAACGAGAATCAAAAAAGCGTGTGGAGAAAATTCTCTTGAAATCTGGGGGAAGTTTCAAATTTAAAGCCCCCGAACAAGATATTGAACCTACTAAAACTCCGCCTGAATCAGTATTTACCAGAAAACTAGGAAGTTTGAGGCAAATCTATGAGGCAAAAAATAAAAACCAAGATAGTGATTCAGAGTTTTACGGAAGACGTGGCAGTATTCCTTTTATAAATCCTGAAATGACGGGATATTCAAGGTCTCTCAAAACACCTGATTTGATCAGACAAATTGAAAGTCAAAAAGATAAACCTCCGTTACCTCCGAAGCAAAGGCACGCTTTAGAATCATCTCCAAAAATTTCTACAGCCCGAGGAAGCCCTTTAGGAGAACACCATCGGAGGCCAGAAGAACGTGAGCGATTTTCCCAAAATGCAAAATTGGACAACATCAGTGCTCGCCGCTCTGGACGTCGATCAGCCCGAACAAGATCACGACGAACAGACTTAAGAAAGCTTTATAGAACTGAAGATTCTGGTTATATGAGCACAGATTCAAATGAATCGAAACGAGTGCGGTATCTGATGCAACTGAGACCTAAAACAGCTGTATCTGAGCCGCCAAAATTTCTTAATAAAATGCCAGTTTTACAGATCGAGTCTGACACAGATGATCTGGAATCATTGTGTGATGGACACAGTGAATCTGGTGGAGAGAGCGTGGAAACAGATTCTGTATTTTTTGGAAATTTTGATGATACAAAAGATATGTTGGCCGATCTTGCCCTCAACAGTTTAAGCAGTCAAACTAAGGGATTAACTCAGGACCAAATCGACTCTGGGTTCATGGGTGAGACTAACATTATTCTGAGTGGAGATAGCGACTCGGAACATAGGAGTGTCATATCAATAATAGGTGGATGCGACGGAAAAGTATCCTCTGCTTCCTTAACCAAATTAGATGATCCGCCATATGTTCGTTCTGTAGAATGTTAATTAATATATTTAGTTTTATCATATTAAAATATTTTAATACAAATTATTATAAAGCGATAAGATAAAATATTGAGAAGAATATCTGCTTTTAAAAGGAAAACGAATTCGTCATGTAGGTACTTACTTTAGCGATATCGTAGTAAAGGTTTTAAAAATATAGTAACACATTTTTTCTAGATCAAGATTTATATTTTTAAATTCACACTCAAGAGCAATATTTCATCTCCCCAATTATGAAAGATCTTTCAGTTTTACTTCGATCATAAAATTTTGAACGAAGTTAACAACTGAAATAATATTTTGAAGTTACCTACACACGACTGTGAAATTCCGAAATACTCGTTGCTTAATAAAATCATACCCACCATAATAGAACTTTGCTCATGACTAATTATAATTAATAATAACGATAATAAGAATATTGTTAGTAAGAGATATTAGTAAGAGTTATTTTATGTCATAAATGTTACTTCTAATTACGTTATAAATAATTTATAAAAAATATATCTTGTATTATATTGAGGTAAGAAAAGATTGCTTTCTTTTTAGGTTTCTTTAATTTATTGTAATGTTATATTATATTTTGTGAAAAAATTCTAAGTAAATAATATATTTAAGTAGAATTTTAACTTTTTGTAAATTATTATGAGTGGCCGGAAGTGCAATGAAACTTAAACCTTAACTTTTATTCTACTTGGAAACGGTTCTTTTCTAGATGTGTGGTACTTGGAACATAAGAGGCTCAGTTACTAAATCCAAAAACATCATCTATCGCTCTATTTCATAGTTGTATCACAATACTTGTTATTATATTTGCCGGGATAGGTATATGGAGCAGGTATAGATAATAAATATATGGGAATAACATTACTTCAAAACTTCCATACTAAATATTTTGAAATAAATAAAATTCACACATATTGTACGTCCTATTTTTATTATTGATCCTTCACCCTTAAACTATAACTTTGCTGCAAGTTATTATGCTAAATAAATGTACAAAGATTACGTAGGGTTTGTAAGTACAAATCCTATGCTATTTTCCTCTCGGTGCACCAAAGATGCTACGAGTGAGACAATCTACAAAAAAAATAAGTCTACAGCGCAGAAAAGCTAGCAGCAGGCAAAGATTTGAATCGTGCAGCAGGTGGTGCATTGTGTTTGCACCAAAATATACACACCACTCCACTAAATAGCTAGATTTGGTGAATATTTTTTGAATAATTTGTTATAGCAAAAATGTATTCGAAATCTTTCATAATGCAGGTCTATTATACCAAAAATAACTACATAGGATTTAAAAGAAAAGCTTGGCTCATAAGGGGATCGAACCCGCGACCTTCGCGTTATTAGCACAACGCTCTAACCAACTGAAGTAATGGGCCACTCTTACGCTGTAAGAAAACAATATTATCTATATATACCATATCTAAACCGACTAACCTGAAGACGTTTATAAATTTGTTTAAAACTTTCATGGTCACTAACATTATAGCTATTAGGTAACAGGATTGTTACCATGTATCTTGTTTTTTATGAGTCTCCGATATACGGAATAACATGTCTCCGATATGTTACTCCGTGATCATGGCGCTTGCAACAGTGCCGAAATATCGGTACATGGTAACAATCCCGTTAATAGCTATAATTTTTAAATTTGTCCCATTCTGAAAATTTCCGACTTGGATCAATTTAACGTGATACAAAGCAACCTGATAAAGGTGTGGCGACTAAAAAACTTTTTCATCCCACCACCTCGGAAAGTGTAATTTTGCGCTTCGAAATCTGGCTGGAAAATTCTATTTTATTCGCTTGAGCGGCAAAGTAGATTTGAATTTAGAACATCACATATAATGAGTACTCAATATAATTGTAAATTCAAAACGTCATTAAACCTATTTAATGTAACCTCTATGGTGCCAAATTTATGATTAGAACTTTTTAAATTGTGAAAAAATTTAAATTTGGAACCTTCTTGGTTTCTTTGTTTTATTTGCGTGCTTCGCGCCATTCTAGTTTTTCACGTTTTATTGCTTAATATAATTAACATAACCTAAAAACTGTACAAAAAAATCAACTAAAATGAGTGACATTAGCGACGATGAAGTTTATCTAACGCCAACTGAGTTAACTGAAACAGTTAATAATGCGCAAATGAGCCTTCTCCCTCAGCAATCACGAGAGAAGTATTTGAAACAGTACGATATATTTAACATGTGGCGACTAGCTAAAGGAGCAAAAACTTTCTCCGAAAACGTTTTGCTGGCATATTTTATAGAATTATCTGAGACCAAGAAAGCAAGCACGCTATGGAGTACGTATTCAATGCTAAAATTAACAATTAAGATGAAGAAAGACGTTCATATCGACACCTATCATAAATTAGTGGCATTTTTAAAAAGAGCCTCATCTGGTTATAAACCAAAAAAATCGAAGGTTTTCACAGCATCTGAAATTGCAAAGTTTATTAATGAAGCACCTGATTCCGTATATTTAGCGGCAAAAGTAAGTCAATACGTGTAATTTTTTGTTGTTGATAAAATTGTACATAGTACTTACAATATTTTTAATTTGATTAATTTATTTACGATTATAAATACTTCTTTTGTTACAGGTTGTTCTTATTATTGGTATAACCGGAGCATGTCGAACAAATGAACTTACACTACTTAATGTCAATAACGTATCAAAATATTCTCATAATTCTGATGAATTGCTATTAATTAATGTACTAAATACCAAGACAAAAAAAGACCGCAACTTCGTTATTCGCAAGGAATATGTAAACATTGTTCAGAAATATCAAGCTTTACGTCCTTCTAACACCCCAATTGAACGATTTTTTCTACAATATCGCAACGGAAAGTGTATCCGACAACCTATGGGTCAGAATAAAATTGGCAGTATTCCACGAGAAATAGCAACTTTTCTCGGACTTTTAGAACCCCCGTTATACACCGGTCACTGTTTTAGAAGAACCTCAGCCACACTTTTGGCCGAATCAGGGGCTGATCTTCTATCGCTTAAGCGCCATGGAGGCTGGAAGTCTAATTCGGTTGTAGAGGGATACATAGAGGATTCAATCCAAAGTAAATCAAAAATTTGTAATAGTATCGTGGAGGCCATAACGCTGAAAGAACCTCTGTCAGATTCTTGGTCTCGCCCTTCTACATCTAAAATGAGCCCCCATAAGATTGGAAACAATAGCCCTCTCTCGCCAACATTTACGCCAATAGAATCCAATGAATCGGCACAACTATTTAAAATTACTGATACGAGTAGTTTACCACAAAACAGCGCACAATTCACAAACACCAACATAACATTACCTAACAAAAATATTAAACTTAACATAAGTAACTGTAGCAACGTTACATTTAATATTTCTTAATTATTTTCTACTTCTTATTATTTTCTTCAATTTATAGATTATCTTAATGTGTTTTAATTGAAATAAAAATATTTTGTCATTATAAATTGTTTTCTTTTTCATTTTGTCATTTCCTCGCTGAGGTGGGATGAAAAGTTACGTATTGCACTCGAGTGGAAAGATTTTTCACCTTGTGCTCGTTTGTTTCCCTCGCTGACGCTCAGGATTCTAATTTAGAATCACTCGCTGCGCTCGTGATTCAACTTTAGAATCCTTCGCTTGCTCGGTCATCCAAATCGAGCACGCGGTTAAAAAGGAACTTTCCACTCTTGTATAATAAATAACTATTTAAACATAGAAGAAGCTAATAGATTCACGTGGGTTCTTTATCTGTCAGTATCTTGTTACTCCGAAATTTATTTAAATAATATTATGTCATTAAAATTTGTGCGTTGCAAGGTAAAACAGATTCACACTACACATCGAAATTGTACATATCATTCGAAAAAAATCCAATGTACCGACAATGAAATTAATGAAGGTGCACTGATGTAGCATATTTTTGACACTAACACTAATTCGTTTCCTTTTGAAAATTTATTTAATTTTAATTCATTTTAAGTAATATTATAATGTAAAATATAACATTTTAAATAAAAATCATTTTATGTAGTGTTTTTTCAAAATGAAACCAGTTAGTGTTAGTGTCAGTGTCAAAATTATACTACATCTGTCTCATCGTTTCTGAAAATTTCTGTATCAGTTTTCACTGCACAACTGCTTGCTTTGTTGGCATAATAAGATCCACATTGAAAAAAAAACGAAAGAGCGTGGGAATAACGTTATTATAATTATAATGTTAAGCTAGCAACGTTCTCGTTAACAGGATGCCCAACAACTATACACTTTTTTTTTGCTCACTGTTCTGGTAACGCCCTATTGATTGATCAACACATCAATGTAAGCAGTGATTAGTATGTAACATAATCTTTATCTAATAAATTGAGATACTGTACAAAAAGTGTGTTTTAACATACAATAACCGACTCTATGATATAATAAATTAAGAAGATTCTTCAATAAGTTGTATAGCCCCTGGTCCAAATTTATTGATAGTAATATGGACTAATTTATCCATTATACCTACACTACTCGTAACTTTTAGCATTGTATTATTAATAAGGTTATGTTTTTTACGAGGCCTACCCCCTCCCATATGGTATAATGAGTGGTGACTTTCGACACGTGGTTTATGTTCATTCAATTATGTTGAGGGGTGATCATAGTAGAATCGTTCGTTTATTACTGATACTTTGACTCTGATAGACCGATATTACTGATGGTTTAGAAATAAAAAATAAAAAATATGTATTAAAATACTCGCTCATCAATAATGCGGCGTCTTAGAGCATATTCAAAAGTCGTATAATGAATATGGTTTCATCTTGTCTTAGGTGCCTATTTTATTTTTCCAAAACATTTCGAAGATAAAATCACATAAGAAAAAACATTTAAAAAAATCTTGGGATTTACTTGCGATATTCCTATATTCCCAGATTCCCAGTGGGTTAAGGTTAAAAAAATACTTAAGATAAAATCTTCATTAGGTTTAAACAGCGTACGATTGTCTTATCAAGTAATAAAATAGTAATAATTAATAGTTTAAATTATAGGAGTTTAATTGCTTTGGGACATGGTACAGATTAAATACGAATATTGAATTCAGATATCATATATTTCGATACTATTATGAAAGTTAAGGAATTCTCTAAAATTAGCATTCTAAAATAATATGACGGGAAAACACACTATAAATTATTTTTTATTAAAAAGAAATTCAATCCTCGCCGTCCAGGCATCAGGTGGGATTCGGAAGTCAAATTGCGGAAGGTGTGGGTTCGTATCCCGTCTGATGCCTGTGATCCACGTGGAATTTTTTCAAGTAAAGTTTTCTTGGGAGCACTTATGTTTTTTAGGGTTTTTTCCCAACAAAATATAAAGGGTTCCATAGTTTTTAGTCGGGATTTTGTAGATACTGGTGGCTGCTACCATTTAAAACCTTCGTGCACAAACTTGATTCGCGGCAATATTTTGTGAGCGTCAGAATGGCCGGTCACTACCCATATTTTACATCGAAATAATTATAGAAAGTTGCTACCTAGTTGCTTCTAGTTGCTACTAATCGTTAAATAGTTGCTACCCCCGATTAAAACAAGCTTTTAAGCTTTTTAGGGTGACCAGCCATTCTGACGTCAGAATGGCTGGTCACCTATCCAGTGAGAACAAACTGCGTCACTAAATGGAGATTTTTTTAAAGCAATAGTTGCTACTAGGTTGCTACCTTTATATATATCGTTTTGGACCTCCCAGCTTTTAAGGATAAAGAGTTATAATCAATTGAGTGTTCAGACATTATTAAAACTGAACGCCTGTAGAATTATACGAGCAAATTCGAAATCAAGTGCATAATGGGTATTGCATAAGCAGGCGCTGCGTAATAGAATTTATTTTAAAAGTTGTCTACTATACATTTTGTAATGTATGTTTTTAATTGTAATAATATAATGAATAATATTATTTTACCGTGCGAAACAAGACAAAATAATGTTAATTTCTGTATTGAGTTATTTTTGTTTATTTGTAATAAATATTTCTGATGAGGGTAGGTAAATTTTTACTTTATTATGCAGAACAGTCTACTTTTATTTCTGGTACAATTATCGCATTCAATGTTTGTATTGTTTTATTATAGTAAATTAATACCAATTGTTGAGGAGCTCGATGGCGCATTTGGCTGCGATTGTTGAAGTTAAACAACATTCGCAATGGTCGATCATTGGATGGGTGACCGAAAATCTTCTATCTCGAGTTCCTCCGTGCTTCGAAAGGCACGTTAAGCTATTAGTCCCGGCTGCATCTGCAGTCGTTAGCACCCGCCAATCCGCACTGAGCTAACTGATACTAATAAGAAGAAGGAATAATTAGCGGTTCTCCCTGGATCTTGAAGACTTCTTACCGGCCATCCATTACCAGCGCACATCGACTTTCTTCGACAACGAATCTTGAGTGGTTTTATTTCGCCAGCTACAGTCCACTTCCATCGTCAAGACACCTCCGTTCAACCCTCCACCTAATAAGTGCGGGTCGGTAACTTCTCGCTACTACGACAGCCCGGCGTCCCGCACAATTGGTATTCATCATCATCATTAGCCTATTAATGTCCCCACTGCTGGGGCACAGGTCTTCCCTATGGATGGTATAGGGAGATTGGGCCATGACCCACCACACGGGCCCAGTGCGGATTGGCGGGTGCTAACAACTGCAGATGCAGCCGGGA